GTAGATTTTCCAGAACATCCATTCAGGATTTCCTGAGATGGTTCCTGGAGTTGGCAAACATTGTGGCCAGGTAGACCCATGGCAGGGCAGGAGTCACTACCTCTTCCTTCTCAGTTGGAAATCGGGTGGGCCAGGCCTGTGAGAATAGACAGTTTAGAGTTGCTACCCATCTGAAGACTGGGTGGTCAGTTGACAAGGACAGAAATGTCCTTGAATAGTGACTATCACGAGAGCCCTCTGGAGAGTCCTATGTTGGGTACTTTGCGGGAAGCAGCTTCACATTAGGACAACTTTTAAAGAATGGGTCCCTGGCATCTGTAACCTGCATCCAGCAGACTCTGAACTTGTCTATTCCCTCACGGCCTGCTCCAAGTACACAGCCACACCCTTCTTATGCCTCCACACAAAGCTTTATTTTCTCCTACAATGAGGTTAGGTGACCTGTAGAGAATTTATTTGTTCATTAAATGAAAATATTCAGCAATCCAAGGCTCTATATTTAGAAATGCAGTGACTTTGGTTCAAAAGCACATGGGACTCCTTTTTCTACATCTAACAGATAACATTACAAAATATTAATACTAAAAACATTTTTTAAGGTCCAGACCCAAACTTGTAAGAAATAGAAATTTCAGCATCAGACCTTAAGAAAGAATTTACAGAGGTGAATGGTATTTAAATCTCTAGGCAATCCCATTACCTTTGGGTATGGATTTTAACAATTGGCAAGGATGGCAGAAAAGTGTCTGAGTCTCCTGTGTATGGGAACAGGCTGTAGTCATACTCCCTACGGAGCACAGGCTGGAACCCCATCCTTGGGCCGTGAATGTCAGAAGGGTTAGCTAAGAGAAACCATAATCCTTATCCTATGCTACTTTTGCAGACTTAGATTCTCACGATACTCTCATGATGTAGAAGCCTAGAGCCAAGATGATAAACGAGATATTTGTATGGAATCTGTAAATCCCATCGAATCCCCAGCAAAGGAAGCCCTGGGAAAGCTCCATTGGATCACTGCCACAACCCGGGGCCTAGTGCAAAAAGGACTTTTAGTATGTTTAAAATTGTTCAAAGAAAGAGAAGAGAGAATAGAAATTGTAAGGGAAGACCAGGACATTTTTTTAAAAGGGAGAGATCTGTTAATAATTGTTTAGCATGGTAGGTTGTACCTTCTAAAGTTGCTGCACATAATTGGGCCACAGAAATATTTCCTGTCTTACATGCTTTTCTGACAATGTGTCCTTATCCTCCTTTCATAGAGAGGTGGGGTCTATGTTCCCTCCTTTAAGGGACATGATTATGGTCTCTCATAATTAACAGCATGTAGGGTATGCAATGATTTCAAAGTCTAGATCAGAAATATGAGGCAGTGTTTGCCTTACTTCCTGGATCATTTGTGCTGGAGCCCTGAGCTGCCATGTAGGAAGTCTACCTGCATGGCAGTTGACAGGTGTGACGAAGCCAAAGTTGGCTCATGCAAAGAGACCACATGTAGATGTCCTGTGACTATATAAAGAAAGAGAGACATCTGGGCACCCCCAACTTCTCCAGGCTCTACTGTTCTGCAACTGCAGCCACAGACTGATTACAACTAGGTAAGAACCTCTAGCTGAGCCCTTCCTGAATTCCTCACCCCAGAATCATGAGCAAAATAAGATGGTTATGTAGGCTGCTTCACTTTGAGATTATTTGTTATGCAGCAACAAATACTAGGACACACAGAAATTTTAAAAGTTAAAATACTGAGATAACTTAATGCATGAATTAAAGGATAATTTAGATTAAAGGAAAAATTAGAATTAGGTATCTTCTAATCACACAGAATGCAGATCAGAGAGAGAAAAGTCAGAAAAATCGAAAAGGAAATTAAGAGATATAGAGATTGAAATAGAAGTTTATACCATATTTAATAGGGAGATATTACAGAGAAAGATAGGAGATTGAGAAAAGAAGAGAGAAAATATTTGAAAAAACAATGGCTGAAAAATTTCCAGAATTGAAGACATGATTCCCCAGGTAGAATTTTACAATGTATTAAATAGAATAAAGAAAGCAAATTGAAATCTAGATACAGTTTAGTGGAAATGTAGAAAGCTAAAGGAAAAGAAAAACATTAAAGCTGAAGAAGGAAAACCGATTATCTATGGGGTTAAACTCTGAAATGTAGGCCAATTATAGATCAAAAATGATTGAGCAGGATTCTGCTTCTGCTTATGAAGGACTGTTATAAAATTTGTACTTTCTCTGTAAATAGCTAGAAAATCAGATAAAATGCATTAACCCCAATGTCCACTAAATTTGTGACAGATAAATTCCACACTTTGGAATTCTAGCCAGCAATACGAAGGCACAAAACTGGTGATAGGAATGCAATAACATAAATGGATCTCAAAAGCATTATGCTAAACCCAAGGGAGAAGATACAAAGGGGCACATGCTGGATGATTCCATGTCTGTGAAATTTCAGTCTAATCTGTAGTGACTAAAAGATTAGTTGTTGCGGGGAGCCAGCATGGGGAGAAGGGACTAGAATACCAAGGACCACGAAGGGACGTTTTGGGATGTCAGAAATGTCCCGTACTTTGATCATGACAGTGGTTACTTTACTGTGTGTCGGTCAAAACTCACTGAATTTTATATTTAAAATTGGTGAGTTTTATTATGATATTTGTAAATTTACTTCAATAAACCCTGATTGAACATTGGAAATCTCATATGGCTCAGTTTAACACAGAGACAGAATGATGGAATGACTTTTCATCCATAACAATAGATTCTAAGGGACCATGATAGAATATTTTCAAAGTCCTAAGGAAAAAAACAGTATCCGCTTCAGAATCTTTAACTACATAAGCCAGTAGTTTTCCAACATTGGAGTGCATCAGAATCATCTGGAGATTTATGAAATGCAGATTGCTGAGACTACCCCCAGAGTTTCTGATTCAGTAGATCTTGGGTGGGCTGAGAATATACTTGTCTAACAAGTTCCCACATTTTTTAGATTCTGCTCTTATAGGGACTATGCTTGAGAACCACCAGGCTAAACCATTCCATAGGAAAGGAAGAAAAAAGAAAAAATTCAGCCTTACAACAACTAGTAGTTCAGCACCTATAAAACGTCTATGAAAGAATGGTAAGAAATTCTTCAACCCCAAGGAAAATAACTCAAGAGGGGTGAATGGGAGGTAAGAAGCCCTTTTTAAAAAATATCACTGAAATATCTCTCCTACCAAATTTCCAAAACAGCATTCTCTGGAGGAAAGTCTCTTTTATTCCATGCTGTAGAAGGTTCCAGCCTACTTGCCAAGAACATGTTAAATGACTTCTTATAGCAATAAAAAAGCAGGGAGGAAAAGAAGAAAGATTTATTCCTTTACCCTTACAAGACTGAGAATTATTTTCTTGCTATAAATGTAAGAAGCAGTTAACCGTTAGTAGGAGAGACCAATCTGTATACACATTATAGGAGCCAGATCTTTTATGCTTTGGCAAAGCAAACGTGGGTGGACGGTGCTGGCTGTAGGGGTGCATTTTCTCTAGAGCAGCGGTTCTCAACCTGTGGGTTGCGACTCTTTGGGGGGTTGAAAGACCCTTTCACAGGGGTCACCTTAATACATCCCACATATTAGATGTTTACATTGCGATTCATAACGGTAGCAAAGTTATAGTTATGAAGTAGCAACAAAAATAACTTTATGGTTGGGGGTCGCCACAACATGAGGAACTGTGCTGAAGGGTCGCGGCATTAGGAAGGCTGAGAACCGCTGCTCTAGAGACTCTAAACATGATAATAGAGCCCAGGAGAGGTGAATATACTTCTAATTATCACCACACACCCTCAATTCTAAACTTCAATAATATTAAAATACTCCACCCTAATAAAATTTTTTTGTTTGTCTAAATTCGAAACAGTTGCTTGTTACCTGTTAATTCTAATACACATAAACTTCAAATTAGCAGATTTTTATTGCTTATTCTTTAACTAATAATTGTATTCTACATTGAAGTTACTGTGAAGAATTCCTAGTTACGTATTTGGTTCCCAATATATTCAAACTTAGCTGCACACTTTTGTTTAAAGAGTAAGTTAGTAATGGTTTGAAATCATTTGAGCTTACTTTGTATCTCTAGCTCCAGAAGTATTACATATTACTACAT